ACTTTTGGAACAATTAATTTTCCAACTTTCTTCAAACTGTTGAATAATTAATTTAAAGTTGAAAAACAAAAAAAATCTCCCTATTTGCTTTTCTCTCTCCTTATCAAAATTCAACCGGTGGAAAAAGAAGAAACATAAGTGGGAGAGGGGGAGGAGAGGAGAAAGGGAGAGAGAGAGAGAGGGAGGGAGAGAGGGAGAGAAGGAGAGACGTACAAAGAGTGATAGAGAGACAGCCAATACAGAGATGAAAGGAAAAAAAAAAGAACAACGAAAGACCCGCAGAAACACTGTATACTGTAACTGCATTAAATTTAAACATTTATATATATATATATATATATTTAATGCTTATTTTATAGCAAACGTATTTACCTTTGTTTGTTCAAACGATATCGGTAAGTGAAAGAGAAAGAAAAGAAGAAAAAGATTTACCTCAATCGACAACAAAAAAATTAGTAAAATTTTTTTTTGACAAAAATTAATTTTTTTTTTTCTTTTTCCATTTACAAATAAAATACAAAGAGGAAGAAAACAAAAAAAAAAAAAACCAATTTATTTTCTTTAATATATGTCACCGATCTTTTCTTTTTTTTTTTCTTCTTCTTTTTCTTTTACCTATGTTTTTGTTTTGTTTCATACAATTTTTTTTACATCCCCAACATTTTTTCTGTCTTCTTTTCCTTTAAAACATTCTTCTGTTTTTTTTTTTTCTTTTTTTTGTTTTTACTACTCAACAATAATTCAACAATGTTTCATCAGCGCTCCTCAATGTATCAGAATCGGGTAGAACTTTGGTGGTGGTCTTCTTTGTTGGGCGTGTCCCCTTAATTGTCTAGGCTAAGCACTTAGAATCTGCACAAAAAAAAAATTTGCAAATTTTGCTTCCAAAACTGTATCCTACCTACATCATCAGTCTAAATACTTGTCGATAAACTCCACTTTTTCTGCTCTTTTTTTTCTTTTTTTTCCTTCCCCAACCTTATTCGTCATTCCTCGGCACACTGATCATATTTAAAACAACAACAACAACAACAACAACAAAAAAAAGTTGACCCCTTTCATGCATCATCGGTCTTCCCTCCTTTCAAGTAGACAAAAAAAAAAAAAAAAATCCGTTTTTTTTTTCTTCTGCACCGATTAGACTAAACTTGCCAACAAGTTCAAACTGTACCACATAGAAAACCAGACTTACGAGTGCAATAATTGAGCATAGAGTTTGTTGCTAAAAGCAGTGAACAAAAAAAAAAAAAGAAGAATTCGATTCGAAACAAAAAAAAAAATAAAATAAAAGTGACTGATTTTTTATTTTCTCACCACCATTTTGCAAAACAACAAAGAACAAAAAAGAGTTTTAATAAAAAATTTTAAATATGAGTAAAAAAAAAAATTCTTTTTTTTTTTTTGTTTGTTTGTTTTGAACTTTAACTGTCAAAAGTTGCATCTTTCTTCTTCTTCTTCTTCTTCTTCTTCAGCATTTTTACCCCTTCTTTTCGGTTTATTTGCAAGAAAAAAGAAAAGAGTAAAAAAATCAAGAAAGACAGCAAAGAAAGCAAAAAAAAAAAAAATCAACATGAAATTTGTCCAACAAAAAAAAAAAGATCTTTTTTATTTTAAAATATTCATTTCTTTTTCCATTTTCTATTTATTCATAAATTATATTTGGTTTGATGTTTTCAAGAAAAAAGAGGTAAAAATTAAATAGAATAAGACTTATTTAATAAACCTTATCAAAAGATAGAAATTTTTATTTTTTGAATGAATAGAGAAGATTGAAAGAATGACCACTGATATCAGACAATCACCGTCACCCACCAACACCATCGTCACCGTCACCGTCACCGTCACCACCATCAAAGTCATCACCACCACCACCACCACCATCACCACCACCACCACCACCACCACCACCACCACCGTCACCATCACCTTTCACAGCAATCAACAAATGCAATAGAAAAAAAGAAGGTAGCAGAAAAAAGCAAAAACTACCGAAAAAAAAAATGAAGTATAAAAAAATTGCGGTCTTTTATAGAAAAAAAAAAGTGCTAAATTAAGAAGCCATAAAAAAAAGTTGAAAATTCTTTTTTTTTTTTCTTCCGATTTTTGAGTTGACGCAAACAAAAAATCTGCTTTCATTTTTTGACTTTTTCTTCCCTCTCCCCCACCATTTATTTGGCTTCCCCTTCAATACAGAACTTTTATAAAAATGCATTTTCATCCCTTTCTCCTAAGGACGAGAAAACATCTCATTAGAAACAAAACAGCTTCTTCCCTTCCATTCCATTTTGAAACTTTAAAACGATTAAAATAGTGATGAAAAAAAGGTAATTTTTAGTGAAAATAAATAAAGAAAAATGAAGCGAAAGAGAGAGAGAGAGAGAGAGAGAAGATAATAAAAGAAGAAAAGCCTCCTTCCTTTTCTTCATCCCCTCCCTTTTTGCTTTCCCTTCTTTTGCTTCTTCTCCCTCTTCTCTCCTCCATCTGTTTTGCTTATCGTCATCGTTGCCTTCTTCTTCTTCTTCTTCTTCTTCTTCAAATTCTCCTTAAATCTCCTTTTTGTTGATCACAGTGAACGATAACAAATAACAATCACATATTTTTCAGTGACCAAAAAATTAAGTTATTCTTTTTCAATTGAAAAAAATGAAAAAAAGAGAAATTTTTTTTTTTTTTTGGAAGAAAGAAAGGAAGAATTCTTTAATAATGAAAAGAAAAAAACTTACTTCTTCTTTTCTTTTTTTTTTTTCTTTCAAAAAAATTTAGTTATAAAAAAAAAGAGCTTTTTTCCTCTTTAACTTCTTTATTTCATCAAAAAAAAAAGAAGCTAAAAATTTGTAACAGCAAAAAACACCAACAAAAAAAAGAAAAAAAAAAAA